ATTTTTCCACTTAACAAACTCATTCACCCAACTAAACAGTTTGAAAAGTCAATATCTTCACTTACTCTGACTCATGGGGTTATTTTAAATGAAATAAACAATTTTACACAAAAGAAACACCCCTTCATTTGGTTACACCCAATTGACATGATCAGTGACATCATATCCTATAAAATCAGGAAGTACTGGGGCGGCCATTTCCACATACCTGTTTTACACATAGGACCTGTCCAGAGGAACACACAGTGGTAAGTATAACCAAACTACATAAACAAATGAAAGATTCAAATCAATTAATGATGAAGTGACATTTAGCTTTAAGTACATTTGCACAGATGAAATGAATATAACCAATGCTACCACAAACAGACACGGGATAATATGTAGAGCCAAGGCTACATGTGCTGTGTTTACATTAAAGCATTATGATAGACTATAGGATAACAGAACACAGAATAACAATATACACAAGTGACAAATGGCAAATGACTTCTGTCCTAGCCACTTTGTCACAGACAGAAGCGGATGTAAGTGATGGGGTGAGATGGAGACAGGCAATCCACTGTAGTTAAAAGAAGAAGAAGAAGAAGACGACAATAAGCTGTTTAAAGTTATCACAAGGTTAAAGCACTCTGTGAGAGAGCCTTTGACAGATGAGGAGAACTCTTTGTTGCTGTGTTGCAGACCTGGTGTCAGCCACCAATACCACCAACGTGAACATCCCTCAGATGGCTGACACACTGTTTGAGCGATCCACCAACGCCAGCTGGGTGGTCGTCTTCAAGGCCCTCGTCACCACACACCACATGTGTGTCTATGGCAATGAGGTTAGTGAACAGTAAACAGACCATTCAACATGTGAAGCAGTTTGGTTTAAGCTTGAATCTCTTCTAATCAGGAAAAAAGATAAATAGAAATGCTGAATAGTATATATTATAGTATACTTTGATATAGTAAAGTTTTTTTTTCTAATTGCTGACAAAAACAGTCACCCCTTTGAAATAAATAATAAATGTCTGGTGTGGTGTGAAGTTACCACTTTAGAGAGCTGAAATTGGTCTTTCAAGGCATTTGCAGGAAGCCTGATGTTTCACAAATAAATAGAGGCTTTGACCACAAGTTAGTGGAATGGGTCCACTGTGCATTACTCCTGTAAAAGCTATTAACCCTCTCAGGCTCAAATTAAACGTTTTGTTGCTAATGCACAACCAAGTCCTGTAGTGGTACTTCTGAGTAAAAAAAAACCTCATAAAATATGTATGTGGGGTAATCAGGTTGTTAGTGTTTAACTGTTGCAAATCGGCAACGCCTGCCTGGAGAGGGTTAAATGATGTAATAAAAGCTTGAAAAGCACAACAAAGAAAGCCCTTACTAGAGATGTCAATGCTGTGTTGTTGGCTGTAGTTTTCAGCTTTGACTTCTACAGGATTGTTCACTGGGTTTTCTTTCTCTTTCTCAGAGGTTCATTCAGTACTTGGCATCCAGGACATCCTTGTTCAACCTCAGCAACTTTATTGACAAAACCGGATCACATGGTAAGACGACAGTCTGATCAACTGTAATATTCTCCCTTTGTATTGTTGTGTATCGTTCTTTGTAAATGGATAATCTGATAATAACCGCACATTACTGAACTTTCTCATCCTTTTCTCCTTAGGTTACAGATTTTAGAGAAGAACCTACATTAAGTTAGGAAAAATAGGAACTAACAGGAAAATAACAAATATCACATATCAGCTACAATCCCAGCAGCCGATCTCAGTGCTGATGGATCAGCCGCTACCCTTCCACATATACATTCAATCTAGGGTGTTGTTTAATTTGTTGCACGCTTTTCAAACCACCTCCTTTCCTGCTCCACCATTCATACTCGCTCGGACTTAATCGGTGTCAACTAATGAGATCCATAATTTGTTGGACAAGGATAGAATTTTTGTAGTTTCATTTCTACACAACCAGACAATCTAAGTGAAATGCAGACTTGAAGAATTACAGCCCTTTAAATACACAGCTCCCCCATTTTCAGAGATTTAAAATGAATTGGACAAACTAACATAATTTTAAATATAAGGACTGTTTTTAATACTGGATGGAAATCCTTCCCAGTTTATGGTTGCTGAAGTTTAGAACCCATGGACATCACCTAACGCTGTATTTGTTCCATTGCAAGGTGGCTGCTAAGCCTTTACTGCAGCCACCTTTATTGCAGGGTCTTTCCATGTATGGTTTTATTCAGTAACTGAAAAGTCAGGTGACTGACTTGGCCTTTGAAGAATATTTTATTTTTTTGCCTTGACAAACTGTTGCATTGCTTTTGTATTTTGGGTCATTATCCAGTCCTAAAAATATAATTCTGGCCTTTCTGGTTTTGAGTGAAACCAGTGATTTGCACCTTGTTATAAGCCATCTTCCATTCATGAATGCATCTCTTGATAATGATATGTCTACTTCCTTAAGAGTGTCCTTTTTCTTAACTATGGAAAAAATGCTGTCATCATGCATTTTGTTGTCTTCTGATGTATTTTGGACCTTTTAGAGTTGCTTAACTGGCCAATGCATTTTTTCCTTTTAAGAATGTACCAGATCACTGATTTGACCCTCACAAAAGTGTATTTTTAGCCAAATGACGACCTCACTAACTTGCACTGACATCCCTTTGGGCCCCTATAATTGCAGTGAAAAGCTATGAAACCTTATTATATCAAATTTTGTGTCTTGTGACTTCATTTGTCATGAAATAATAAGATGACAGGTCTCACTTGAATTGGCAGATTCACTTTAGTCTCTGCAAATGGGGGCTACATAAAAAAAAATCGCTAAAATTCCTAAATGCAAACCCTTTGAATGAACCCTCTCAGGTTTATAATCATTTGCATTATATTTTTGTTTGATGTGGTACATTACCACTGTGGTAATGTACAGAGGCTACAAAATTGTGTGTTCAGCAAATTATGGACCAAACTGTCTCAGCTACACATGGAGAAATTGTGATTCCTGTTATATTGACTGCTTTAGGGATACACTGTTTACTGCAGGTTCTAAAATATATTTTCCCACTAGGACAAAAAGAGATCAATGCATGAAGTGAGCTGTTGAGAAACAAATGACAAATAATAGAAATAATCAAGAAACAAATACGAGCAGACAGCAAGAAGCCTATTAGCTTTTTGTTCAACAATCATTTCATTTTGATTTCATTTTGTGTAGGCTATGACATGTCTACATTCATCAGGCGGTATGGACGATACCTGAATGAGAAAGCCTTTGCTTACCGCCAGATGGCATTTGACTTCACCAGAGTCAAGAAAGGGTACGGTAAACTCGGTGTGCATGCAGTCATAGCAACACTTGTTTGGCCATTAGCATTTTCTTTTACATGCTTTTACTTAGCGTGTGGTTAAAACCTGTAGCTCTTCTTTTATGTAAAATACTCTCTCTGTTGTGTTACCTCAGCGCTGATGGAGTGATGAGAACCATGACCACTGAGAAGCTGCTGAAAGGCATGCCTGTTCTGCAGACACAGATCGACACACTCCTGGAGTTTGATGTGCGTCTTTGCTTTGATTTGCACACTTTTCCTTCTTTTTCTTCTTATTTATTTATTTGGATGAACAGAACCTCAGACAGCCCTACTTATCTCTGTCCTGTCTCCTCTCAGGTTCATCCCAAGGAGCTGAACAATGGGATCATCAATGCTGCATTTCTGCTTCTCTTCAAGGACTTGGTGAAACTGTTTGCATCCTACAATGATGGGATCATCAACCTATTAGGTTAGTAGTCCGCTTAAAGTGAATAGATTGCAGGGTTGTTGTTTTTTTTTTCATTTCACCGATGATAATCAAAAAAGATGGACAAGGTGTTTGTCAGTCAGCAAACTTCTTGTTTTTGTGTGTAGAGAAATTCTTCAAAATGAAGAAGAGTGAATGCAAGGAGGCCTTGGAGATCTACAAGCGTTTCCTGACCAGGGTGACAAAGATTGGAGAATTCATGAAGCTGGCTGAGGTAGCCTCAGCGGTCCTTTTTCTTTTGACTCACATAGTGACTGTAAAAACTGAGTCTGTGCAGTGTGATAATATTGTTTTTTAAATATATATATATTTCTTTTCTTTAACAGACAGTTGGAGTTGACAAAAATGACATTCCCGACATCAACTATGTAAGTTACATATCACAACTCTCAGGGTTTTTTAATCCCCACTTTGCAAGCGATGGGATCAAGAATATATCCATCTCCTCTCACACACACATGCATACACAGAAGCCCATGTCTCACCCACCACCATCTCCCCACCCAGTGTCTCCACCCAGGGGTAGTGGTGGATCTAGCAGACTCGGATGACGAGGACTGCCCCTTTAAACCTCTCGAGGAACCGGTAACCACAGAAACAAAGGGGTTATTTTGGCTGAGTGCCTGTTTACAGGATGAAGTGTTGGCACGTTGACCTTTCTTTAATTTGACAAACAAGTCACGCAAAACACACAAATCCTTCTCGTGTTTGTGTGTGCATAGACACATGCATGCGACTATTGCAGTGGGATTTTCTCTCACTCTTGTTTCTGGCGATTAAACCTCGGCTGGAATGTATCTGAGGAGATGATTTAAGATTTGAGTTGCGATTCCAGTTTGAATTTTCTTTGTTCTGCTCAGGCTCCCAGCAGTATCCTAGAATCTCTGGAAACCCACATGAACGGCCTGGAGGATATAAAAGGTGGAAAGAAGGGGTAAGACGTAACATTTCTTTGCAACGTCATAGTAAAAACATTAGGATAACTCTTTCTATCTCCCGCTTTTGTTTTCACGAGTAGCCAATAGAAATATCGGTAGAAACAGGTTTTGTATTTCTACAGTTTCCTTTAACCCCTCCTCTCTTTTACTCTCCTTTACGTTGATTTGGAAACACCAGTGAAGGGTGAGCATATGTGTTATGTTTCGTTTGCAGTTTACTAACTATTTAGATGTATTTACTGTCCCACCTCTCGCCCCACCCTCCCCCAGGTAATAAATGTGCACATTATTCACATGTGAATTATGAACTGGATCAATCGAATAGTTCACATGTGGAAATGTGTGTGTCGGTGTGATTACATGCGTGACCTCTGGGAGACACATGTTTTGGTAAACAGCAGATCACCATGTGTACTGTCATACGCTAATATGCAATGTGAATCGCTATATGAAGGGTTTCATTCCCAAGTCAAACTGAAAATGAAATAAAAGCTGGCAAAATCAGACTGATTTAACAAATCTTATGCGCTGGATTTTATTCTTGTTTTCATACTTGATTATATATTATGGTACTTTGGAAATGAACTCTTCATATGATCACATATGATGCAGTCTATCTTAAATGTTTGTTTGAATCCCCGATATTGAGTTTAAAATGATCTGTAAAATTGAGCTTTTGTCAAGCAGTTTGTTTTAAGCACATCACTTATACCTCCTCTTGTTCTTACACTTTCAGGTCTCCAACAAAGGTAAGATGCACATTTAAAGTAGTCTGTTTTTTTCTTTAGCCTTTTATATTTTGAATCAGCACTGAAAGGGGGCTTGTCTGTCTACTTTCCAGGGATCTCCTACAAACAATGTGTCTCCAACGTCAACTCCAGCCAAATCTTCAAATGCTGTTCCCACATTGCAGCCTCCTCCTGGGGACAGTGCTGGCAGCGCTGCTGCTTCAGCTGCTCCTGAACCGGCCGAAGAGTAGGTTCCTATTTCTAGTAAATACCCCGACAATACAACCTTTCAAAAAACATTGGATTTTGTTAACATCTATAAAATACCATATACTTACAGTGTATCTGTATTGTCAGTATTGCCAAAAGTAATCACCACCCATCAGAATCAATCAATCCAATTCCAGCGCGATAACATGATACGATGCCACCTGTGCAACATGTCCAGTGTGAAATTTCCTCTCTATGAAATATTCCACAGTCAGCTGTAAGTGGTATTGGAAGTGATTGGGAACAACAGAATTCTAATAGACAGACAGAAATCACGAATTGTGATTTTTTTTTTTGGTGTCTGCTTGCCCAGTTTAGTTTCTCATTTCATTTACTTCACATGTATAATTTGGATGATGGGTAAATGATCTCAGAAGCAAGACATTTCCCACGATGTTGTCTCCACTTTCTTTTAGTGCTAGGTAACAAAATGTCACTACAACAGTGCTATTTTAACCTCACCCAGCTGATTAAGTGCAAGTAAACTATTGATCATGTGCAGCAGAAAACTTTCACTCAGAAAAGTGTGGTTAAAACTTTATCATCTTCCAGTTCATTGCTAGATCTGGATCCACTGGCCTCTACTGGCCCTTCAGCACCATCAGCTGGCCCCACATCTTGGGGAGGTAAGTGGCCCTCCTTCCTTTAGAACAGCTGCTGGCTCGTCTGATATCATGCACATGGTTTTCGTCGTAGTCATTGTTAGAAAGAACGACAGGTAATCTAGTCCTTTTAGTGAACACGTAACAGTCTATTTTCATTGGAGTTGACTAGAGAATCAAATCAAAGCTCCAGAATAAGACATATCTTCTCCCTGTTTCTTTGTTTTCTGCCTCCGTAGATCTTCTTGGATCAGGTGAGTGCAACTCCTCTTTACTTCACCTGTAGGATCTGGTCCAGACTAGTCCATTCTTAAAACCTCCTCCAGGTTGCCTTGATTTTCCTGGTTTTCTTGCTGTAATATGAAATTGAAGCAACCTGGAGGCAATATATTGTTTCTCTATTTAGAAAATATAAAAATAGACAACATTGCAGCAGTGTCACATGGTTACTTCCCTGTTTGTCTCCTCGAGCTGTTCTCTTAGTCTGAGTACTCTCTTTGTTTCTCTCTGCCTTCTCCCTCCCCTCCCTCCACATACTCCATTGTCTGTTTTTGGTTTATAATGGGGGCTGTTTTGGTTGATTGCTTTTTAATATTTATTTCTTGGTTATGACTGGACAATGCTGGATCATTTGGCGACTTTTAATTTGTTTAAAAATACGGGTTTTTCTTCTTTTTTTTGGCCACTTCTAAATGATCTTTATTGGGCTTTATTTGGATTGACCTTTCTTTTGGCTTTTTTTTCCTTCACTCTCACAACGGTGACTCCACTGGCTATTTTGGTTCCTCTTTTGTGGTTTATTTTGCCTCCTTTCTATGGGGATTTCAAACACCCCTGCTGGTACTGGAAGAAATGGGCGATTCCTTGCTATCTGAACCCACCCTCGCAGCTGAGCCCACCCCCTCCCTTGCAGCGGCATCGCCCACACCTGCAGCAGCAGAACCTGGAGTCTCTCTAGCTCCTCCCACTAGCACAGCAGCTGCCACCTCCCCTGGTGCCGCCAATGTGGATCTGTTGGGAGGTCAGTGGGCTTCCAGAAAATTCTCTACGAAGGAATCACTCTGGGAAGCTCAACTGTAAAACCCATCACACGATATGATAACACAGACGACTGCATGCTCAAACACGTACAGTATGTAGACAGAACTTTGCTGAATTATGGCAGTTGTTGTCTGTCCACTGCAAGCAAAGTTGTATCATCAAAAACTCTCACTGCGTACTGGATTGATGCACATCCCTATCAACTGCCTTAAAATTATAGCCCCACATTATTTAGTTATATTTAAACAGACTAAATACATTTGATTATGGATTAACCATGTCAAAATATACACACTTAATAGCTTAAAATGCTACTCAATGTTTAGAAAAAACTTATCACTTGAATTTTCACTTTTCATTTCCTAATGCCACATTTCATGACAGTGTAGTAGTCCCTGCCTCTGTTAGCATCTTTTTGACTTTGATGCCCTAAAAACAGCAATTTATTAACAAGATGCTGATTGTAATTTTGGCCGGTATTGATATTACTCAGCGTTAAAAGAACGTGAAAAGAAAGAAATGCTTCCATGCAGGTTGTGTAGAAAAGATGGTTTGTGAACTATGGTTTGCCATTTTGGAGGTTACTATGTTCATTTTCTTGTGACGTTGTTCATTTTCATGTGAGGGTAGAGTTGGGGGAACTATCAGCTACCCTGCAGCAATGCTGACTTATTTCACAAGATTAATCTGTAACTTATCACTGTCTATACTTCAGCAGGGTTATTAAAAGTGTTTCTTAGTGAGGAGACTCAATAGGTGTGCCTCTTGCTTTGGGCTCACAGAGTGTGCACATTAGTGACAGGAACACATATTGGGTGAACACGAAGGGTCTAACTACAAGGTGAAGATTGCAAAGTTTCTTCTGATAGAAACTCTACAAGATTTACAAGAAACTGTAAATCCAGACAGCGTTACCACCACAGGCCAAAGACAAAAAAGCCAGCTGACTGATTAGGTTCCACTCCCAGGCATGCGTGGCTGTGCTGAGTGGGGTTTTTCTCGTCATAGTTGAAAGGTTTGCTAGATAAAGATTTGGGGGCAAAACAGGGCATTGTTAATTTGCAGTTGATGCATCAAAACCTGTTCAATAAACTATCATTCTAGCATAGCTTTGAGAGATGTTGCATGCCAGTTGTTCTTGATCAGTTCATTGCTTGGCTGAATTTGTGCACAGCCAGGATTGTAGTTCTGGACCTTTGGCTTGCTTTTCCTGTGCTCCGTGACATAATAATAATCTACTGTAGTACAGAGAGTGGGATAGTGGCTAACGTGTGGTATAAAAGATTTCCTGTGTCTGAACTTGTAGCAACAAACAAAAAATCAGTCTATTACTAAAAGTACTGTGCACTAAGTGGTGCACAGGGTGGTCCGAATTATCCATGAGCTGTTATTTCCACAGCTAAGTACAGTACTGCAATCGCAACTTTTATTTCAAAATGCTACGAGCGGAATTGATCAGATTTCGAGAGGTACATGAAATCTTGTCACCATTCAGGGTTGCTCCTTCTTGGAAGAAATTTACTTGGGTAAAGTGTGTAACTATGTGGGCAGTAACTATGCTTTAGTGTCATGAAAAGTGTCATTATTTAAATTACTAAAAGTGAAATTCTGATGTGAAAAATATCTCAATATAGAATTTAAATGAATGAACTAGCTAATATGATAATAAGAATGACTTACAAGCAGTTTAGTGATGAGTTGTGTTTTAATCGTTTATCGGTGGTACGCAGTTTTATGTGATGTGCTTTTTTTGGGAAAGCAATCACATTTAATCACATTATTTTAATCCATACAAAATGTACAATCAGATTTAGACTTAATATTTCTACAGATATTCTCCACATACTCACCACATGTTCACTTTTGGCTTGTATATACACTGCTGCTCTCATGCATCCTGTTTGATAGGCCGTAATGCTTTTCTTTGATCTCTGAAAAGCAATTCTATCAAACCCTGTCACATGTCTACAGCTACAGATGGCAGCTGTAACACTTGTAGAGTCCTGGCTTATTCGGCTCTTTGTGCACTAGATTAATCCTTGCTGTAATGCCTCCTGTCTGTATTCCCATTTGCTCATTCACCTGTCAGTCATTGATGTCACATAACAGTTCTGTACGCTGCTGTTTCTAAAAGCTGAAAACAGCTTAAAATGCTTCTGCAACTTAAACGCTTTAATCTTCTGTTCTTTTTTCTTAATAGTCTTGTTTTCCTCTGGCTTTTTGACTCTCTCTTTTTTATCCTTATTTCTTCATCTGTCTCTCTCCGCGTTTCTGTCTTCTCCTGGGGTTTTGCAGAAGCCTTTGCAAGTTCTGCTCCTGCCGCTGAGGCCTCCGCAGGAGCAGCTGAAGGTGGGGCTGCTGCTACATCCACCCCAGCTGCCAACGCTGGAACTGGTGGGTGACTAACATCTGTCTGTGTGAGAGAGAGTGTGTATGTGTGTCAGCCAGTGGCATACATGAGAAAGCAACAACAACAAAAAACACGCAGTTAAGCAATTCTTTCTTTACATGTTTTCTGCATGAAAACATACAAACAATACAGCAAAGCAAGTTAGCTAAAAACTCAAAACCTCAACAGGAAAGAAGCTGTGAGCTAATTTGTGATGCTAATATTAGCTTAATTAGCTTTAAAGATTTGCTGGCTTCAACAGCTACAGCTATCTAAAATAAAAACCAATTGTTTCAAAGTTGTTGTTTTTTTTATTACACAGAGTAATAAACTCACAGTAGAAAAGGTACAGGTGTAACTATTAAACTATTAAAATAATGCTAGCTTTTGTTTGTGTACGTCGAGTCACGCTATCGTGGCTTTATATTTTCTCCTGTAACTTTTAAAAAATGCGCATATTTATTTAATTGGGTGAGTCAGAGTTTCTCATCAATAATTACTATATTTTACTTACATGCTTTATTTTCCTAGTTAGGAAGGTATTCTTTCGGCTTCTGTGCATTTCCGTAGTTTGAACTCGGAACATGGAGATAACATGGGCACAACAAAGAGTTGTTAAAATGCAGGACTTTAATGGAATATATTGTTTGTTATGTTGTTTTTGTATTTCTTTTATTATGACTGTGAAAGAAGAAAATGTTATAACTTTACAGAGAAAGATGTAGATGCCTGTGGTTGTGAATGCGTAAAGGTTAATGAGGGTTTAAACTCACGTCTTTATGCAGGTAGTATGGATTCATTCATCATTACTGCTTGGGTATGGAAGGGAAATCTTGTTATTGGCGTTCAAGAGCAAGAATATTCATGCTTGTCTTTTGTCATCACAAGAAAACTTTAGACTTTCTGTTATGGAGAAGACTGCCTGGTTTTATTTGAAGTTCCTAACGTTATGGACTGTGAAAGGATTTAATATCCGCTCCAGTTGTTTGTCATTTTCTCTCCCATCATCACAGATGCTATTTATAGCTGTAACTGTTACGACTGACAGCAGGAGTATGTTGGAGCTCTGCACATTTTCACCTCCTATCATTCCCATCTGATGTTTTCCATTTCTCTGACCTCCTTCTTGTGGTTATTGCGGTACTCCTGTAACATACAGTATTGTGCAAAAATGTTGAAAAATAATGCAGTGAGTAGCTTCATAAGTTCACCCTCAAATCAGTAATTGTTGCGCTTGCACTTTTTCTTTGATGCAGCACCAGTTCTCAAAGGAACACAAGCATCTTGAAGCACTTGCTGCAGTTTTTCTGTGTCAGCCTGTCTCTCACTTTTCACTGTCTTTTTGTGTAAAGACAGACTGACGCATTGATATTGGGATCAGGCCTCTGTGGGGGACCAGATATCTAATGTCTAGAATTGACCTAAGCCTTTGCTCAGTGCCGTATGTCTGCTCTCTTTTGTATCAAAGTCAATGTCTAACATTCCCCTTCTCTCAATGTTTTACATTTCTTTCCTACCCCCAACACCCCCCATTTCTTCCCAAAAGACCCCTTTGCTCCCTCAGATGGTAGCACCAACGCAGCGTCTTCAGGTCTAGACCTTTTCGGCATGATGTCAGTGGAGAGCAATAACCCGGCTAGTTCCTTGGATGCCTGTTTTAGCTCCGGTGTGCCCCAGCCCTCCCCTTCCCATTCCCCTTCACCGCTCTTCACCTCCTCATCCAACACCATCATCACCACTGCAACCATTTCAGCTCCTATTGCCGCCAGCACCACCAGCCCTGGGATTGACCTTTTCAGTGGTAAACATTGGAGATGTGTGTGGTCCGGCATTAGTAATTATCGCATCATACTGAGGCAGGCTGGTGTCTTCTTGACTCTGTGGTTTGAGGCTGTTTGCCATTTGTTTTTGTCATTATTTTTATGAGGGAAAATGTGCACATGTTTGCAGCTTTGCCTCTCCAGTTGAAAGAGTTTGAGCTTTTTAATATTCCTGTCTTGGGTGCGCATGTATTTGTAGATATCGTTGACTCCATGCCAGACACGAGCTTCTCCAAAACAGACCCCGCTCCCAGTGCTGACTTGTTTTCAGCAGGTACCCTTTTGCACTCAATCTGCCATCTTGCGCGTGCTCTTACTCTCATATCCTGTCTTGCTGTCTGTGTTTTTCAGCTTTGTCCTTGGCTTTGATCAGGGAAGTAAAGAAGGAAATGAGATTGCTCTGTTATGGGTCAGCTGAAAGCCACTGAGCTGTCTGAAGCATTTAGTGAATGACACTTACCTCTTTTCTTATTCCGGCATGTACTGCGTGCACTGAAACTGAACTTGATAAAAGCGCACTGTGCATTATAATCTCCGTGTTTCCGTGTGTGTGTGTGTTTAGTGTGTATTTGTGCGTGTTTGGGGTCTAAAAACATAATCTCCACCTTGCCTCCTCCAGCGGATGTGTTCAGCTCCTCTGCCCCCATCCTCTCCTCAGCACCCCCATCCAAAATTGACACAGGAGCCATCATGAATCTGTTTGGTGGTGGGTAACTCACATGACCACCTCCCCTCACTCTGCCTCTCTTGTTCACGCTGAGGAAGCGAAGGACATAAAATGAAACAAGTGATTTTGAAACCATCAGGTTTTCTCCTTTATGATCATAGCTATTGCGATTGTTGCTGTTGTATATTTTGTTCTTGTTATTCATGTGGGTGGATACATTATTGGAGATTCGCACACAGATAGCTGAGATGAGTCAAAGTATTTATCAGCTGCTAATAATGACTCTGGCTCAAGATTTTCTTTCTTTTAAACTAAAAGTGGCTACACTACTTCAGCACAATTATACTTGCTCTCATTTATCCTCTAGAAAAACAGGATTACGAGCACAAATCTAACAACTAAAATTCCTTGCTGTGTATATCTGAGTGTTACATGTGAAAAGGCCATTTTTATAAGCAGTATGCGTGTGTGATGTTTTCATTTTCTGAAATCAAAAATCCTGCGCTCATGCTTTCAAGCCCTCTTTTCTAACTCTAAGCATTTTGTCTGACATTAATAGTGTGAAGCTGAAGGCTGATTGTACCCCTTCTTTGCCTTAATGCTGCGATGGAAATGGCTCGACCCACTGCGACCCTGTCATGGAATGAATGGTGGACTGTGTTTATGTTTTTTGGTTGACCTGCCAGAGCCCACAGGAGGAGATGCTCCAGCTGCTGCTGCTGCCCCTGCTCCTGTTGCCCCCGGTGCTGAACTGATGTCAGGTAAATCCTCAGATGTGGAAGTGCCAACCTGAATGTGATCAGTGAAGGTTATATCATCATGTTTGTATGAAATAGTTCCCTCTCACTGCATGTATTGTGGTCATGGATGGATTTCATAACAGATATTATGAGCACAGGTCTGGAGGCTCCTGAGCTAAAGCCTCTGTATTAAGATTTGTTTTTGTCGAGTTTAAAGTGGAAATAGACTGATGGTATTGTTTTGTAAAGTCTGTAAGCGTGGAATAAAAGAGAGAACATTAACCAGAGGTCCTCACAGACTGACTGGATGGGGTCATGGTACCAAACAAGCATGCTCATTTATAGAATTCCCCACTCAACAATTATTTCAATGATGGACTCATGCGCTCCAAATATGAGTCTATATTATTAATATATATGCGGTAACAAACTACTCACTCACTCACTCATCAGAACTTCACCTTTCAGACCATGCTCTCAGCAAAGTCAGTGCTGCTCAAGTTCCTTAAGTCCAAAGTCCTCCCCTCTACTCTCCTTCCTCTTTTAAGGACCACCTTTTTTTGCTTTGGTTTGCTAAACATAATTTATAATGCTGCTGCACAGAGGAGCTACTCTGTTTTTTTTTTCTGACACTTGCCAAAAACAAAAACAGTTGCAGTGCGGCACTGTTGCCGCACAGCAAGAAGGTCCTGAGTTCAATTCCAACATCAGGCCGGGGTCTTTCTGTGTGGAGTTTGCATGTTTTCCCCGTGTTTGCGTGGGTTCCCTCCGGGTACTCCGGCTTCCTCCCACCGTCCAAAGACATGCAGCTTGTGGGGATAGGTTAATTGGATAATCCAAATTGTCACTAGGTGCGAATGAATGTGAGTGCGAATGGTTGTCTGTCCCTGTGTGTTGGCCCTGCGACAGACTGGTGACCTGTCCAGGGTGTACCCCGCCTCTCGCCCTATGACAGCTGGGATAGGCTCCAGCACCCCCCGCGACCCTGAAAAGGATAAGCGGAAGCGAATGGATGGATATTGTTTGAATACAGTAAGGCTTTGGTTGATGAGTTAACATAACTTAAACACATTCTCGAACTTTTATGTGTTAATAGTTCTGTCGACCTTGCTTCTCCTGCCTTTTGGGCCCTGGATGCCCTGTCCAAAAAAGAATAGGTCGGGGTTTCTGCTTAGCTCAGAGGCCCTAACCTGATAATTCATCCATGGCTACAGCTGTTCATCTTGTAATAACACGCACGATGCCTTGTTGTTGTCCTGCTAATACCATAATATCACTTTACAATATTTTACTAACACTTTCTTTGATAATCTTAAAATCGGTTTGCTTGCCAGACTAGCTGTTTCGTGTCAGTGGATGTATCACTTACTGTTTCTATTAACTTTGGTAATGGTTAATGAAATAGTTTGCTGTCAGCAGCTTCTCTTTGGATTGTATTTATTAACTTTTAACAGCAACATACATCAACATTGTTTGTGCCACACAAAATGGTGCATGTTGCTGCTGGCTTGGTTTTTGCTTCAGTTTCATGATAACAGCATCACATTTTGCTCATGACGACTTATATTCTTGGGAAAATCCTCCAATTTTTCTCACCTTTCAATACTTGATCCCTGCTCATGTCGTTCCTGGTCCTCTCCTTTTGTGCTGCTGGTCTCATATTATATAACTAATGGTCTGCAATACTTCTGCTTTAAGGCTTAACTCTTTCTCTTTTCCTTCCTTTCTATCAACCATACAATAACCTCCTTAGAAAAAAAAAAACACTCTATTGAAACCTCGTTGCATTTTCCCCCCTCTCTCTTTGGCATCTGTGCTTTTTTTTTTTTTTTTTTACTCTCCTCTCTTTCTCTCTCCCTTGCTCTCTTTCTCCATCTGGCTCTTGGGCTGGCTCATTTCTTGCTTCCTGCCATTTGATTGGGTGAGTCCCCTTGCTCTTTAACACGCTAATTTCCCACAGTGCACTGCATTGCGGTGGTGCAAGGCAAGCTCAGCTGCACTGTCTCCTGAAACACCAGATGCTTGATGGTTATGAGGACTGTGTGAAGTAGCAGTTATTATTCAGTGCTTCTTTAGCATTTAACCCAGCTTCATTCTAGCTTCAGTGCTTCTGCCCTCATGCCAGTTTCTGCAGCAGTCACAAACTCATGGGAAAACTACGTTAACGGTCACATTCTTGACATCATGTTTGATGCTATGCAGAAGCAAGCTCAGGTTTATATCTGTCCCACATATATACGTACTTTTAAACTTCTTTATCTTACCGCAATTGATCATAACAGATGTCTCCTGAGTCATATATTCAATGGTTTTATGTCATATTCTATTTCCCATGATTGAAATTCACTAAGATTTAGTATTTTCCAAAAAGAAACCATATGTCATATTTTAAATGAACCAACTCTTCCTCAGTAGGTTACATTTCAATGCTCTCTTTTCGCTGTTGTCATGGAGACATCTGTTGGTTGTCATGGTAATATCCCAAGTAATAAGAAGGCCTGCTCCTGAGTTGTAGTAGAGTGTGAGAATTGCTTGTAGTGAAGGATACTAATATCTCCCTCCCCTGTCCATCTTCTCCCTTCCTTGCTGCACCTCCTCCCTGCTGTAGTATTTGATGGCCTAGGGGATGTAATGAAGCCCACAGTGACTCCCCAGGCTGGGGATGTTGACACCTCTATGGCTAACATGGCAAGTAGTAAGTAGAGTTTTAGATTTCTAGATTTCTGGACTATGTAATGCAGTAAATTAACATTTTGAGAAATATGCTTGTTTGTTCTCCAGCAGAGATTCTTAAATTGCAAGATTTGCTTTATTTATTCATTCTAAATAAATTGTGAAAGGCTTGAGAGTCACTTCTTTACATATTAAACAAAAGAGAAAAGCAGTCTTGAGAATGTTAGATGTGCTGGCAGTCACATTTTCTTTTATATTTAACAGAGCCAAACCTATTTATGCTATACATGCCCAAAATGCTAACTAAGTAATTTGAATACTTATCATTTTGTTACAATGTAAAACATTAGGGAATTTGGTCAAATGAAATTTATTTGAGTGGTGTACATTCATTACATTTATTCAATATTCAGTTCAAATCAGTTATATTTCTATAGGACCAAATCACATCAACAATCGCCTCAAGTTGCTTTATTTTGTATGGTAAAGACTCTATAATATTACAGAGAAAGCACCAATCATCAGATGACCACCTATGAGCAAGTGCTTGGTGACAGTGGGAAGGAAAAACTCCCTTTTAAAAGGAAGAAACCTCTGATAGCACCAAACTCACGGAGTGGCAGCCATCTGCCATAACTGTTGGGAGTAAAAGAATGGATAGATTAATTTTATATTCAAGCATACTTTTCTTAATGATTAATTATTTGAATAAATAAACCTTTTGATTTTATACATTTCATCTGTGTTTTATTCAAAATTGTTGCTTAAGTTTATGAGGGCAAAGAGTCATTTTTTGAGTGTGTGACTCCATCTGACACTTAGTTCACAATAAAAAAAAAATCAGTAGCTCTAACTCCCCTATAAACCACAAATATGTTTCTTTACACTTAAAATTATTTATGAAAGTAAACCATTCTTGTGAACTTTAAGAGTGCTTGTGTTAAAGATAACCCAACTTATTAATTTTTCCACCTCTGTTAAAAGAAAGCAAAGAAACTCATCTACTAAAATGGCAAACATCTGCTTTAACTGACTGTCTGTCTTGTAACTTAGAAATCACTGCAGTAAATTACAAGTTACAAATGATGCGACAGATTTTTTTGCAGTACCTTTTTTCTCTCTTTCTTTCCTTCCAAGATCTCACAATGGGAACTCCAGCGGCCCCTCAGGTAGCTCCCCCAAGTTGGGGTGCTCCGATGGTAAATGTTGTCTGTGTCTTAAAGCATGGAGTGGAGCCGCATGCCAGCGACAGATAGGGCAAACCTGTAGCAGCAGTCACACGTGTCGCCTTCATCACTATATGGAAAAGAAACAGGGAAAAAAAACAACTAATAACAAATGCTTATGTTTTGGAGATTTGTCCTCTTTCTTTTCAATATGGCCCAGCTCTCCAGGTTCCAGGTGTACCATAAAACTAGGAAGCAGGGCATAAACTTAATTCAGCCTAATGTGTGTTTCTGGAATATTCACTGGAGAGTGATGGAGGGGGAAGTGATAGTACTGCATTAAGAAGCTGTTGCTTGGAAACAGCTATTAATTTTTGAGTTTTCTTTGAAACCTGATTGAGTTGAGGCAAACCTGGACATTGCAGTTGGTTTGACGCTTCCATCTGAAGGCTACATGAAACAAGCTTCACTGCTCTCTGAACCCCTGTTCATATGCAAATAGACAACAAAAACTGAAGATGAAGTTGGGCTTTCTGTTGTGGCGTGTCCTCGTTTCTTGTGTGCCAGCTTGTTTTGTCCAGCATTTGGTGTGTCTGTCCTTTTTCTTTTACCTTAAATTTTTGTTTTCTGTGTTCATTTTGCCATATTTTCATCTGAAATGTAGTATAGTAACATCCCACCTCCTCCTCTCCATCCCCTCTCGTCCACACCTTTAGACCATACCCATGGGTGTCAGTCCTTTTATGGGGATTCACCCTAGCTTCACCATGGTAAGACCTCCAGTCCAGTCTAGTAATGCCCAGGCAGGACATTACTGGATAACTAATGGACAATCACCCCCCTTGGGTGGCCCTCACACACCCATAAAATAACAGACATCTAGTTTTATTGACTCTTTTCCATTCCATCAGGCCGGAGCACCAGTTGCTGGGGCTCCCATGATGCCAATGGCGAGACCAGGCTTCCCAGCCGCTGGGGGGACCCCAGGAGCACCGGTAACACACTTGATTTTTTTTTTTTACAATGGAAAATATTATTATTTGCACAGGTTACAATGACAAAAGAAAGAATATGAGTGCTAAAATAAGGTGTTTTACAGATGTCTCCTGGAATGGCCCAGAGCCCCAGGAAGCCTCCACCACCCAGGAACGCTCTGGATGACCTCAATATTAAGGACTTCATGTAGACTGACTGATCCAGAAACCCCCAAGGTACACATCTTTACTGATAGTATGCTGAAACTGCAGATTCCTCTCATTACGGATAACATTCATATAGTTTTTCTCTGTAGAACAGGCTGGGGTTTCAGCATAACAGTGATCTACAGCACTTCTACCATCAGTTATTCTGCTTAAGATGTAGACATGCTCGTTGCTTGTTGTAAACCTGTTGTGCAATTGCTAAACTAAAATAACTCATATGTCATGAAATGGCAAAGCATAAGGAGCCTTAAACAATAACCACATGCAAGTTCAAATTGATGCTAGAAAAGTGGTTCCCAGACCTGAAGATAAAATTAAGGGTGGTTTTTCTGAGGGTTTTTTTTTTTTTGCAAACAGACAGAAGTCACTGGCAAATATCAAGATCTTTTCTGAAAGTAGACTTCACAAATTTTAAGTGATCAGCATTTACAAAAAAAAAAAGTGCTAAAAGCTGCTTTGGATTGGGATCCACAACAGTACCGATAAGGTAAAGAAACCAAATATGTGACGTTAGGGTTAGGGAAAACATCTTGTCACAGTAAATCAGATATCACATGCCAGTTTCAGGCCGTTTAACAATAGTGTTAATAATGCAATATGGTGTGTCTGCTAAGCTAAGACAAGACCATGTTCTTTCTCTCTGTAGGTTTGTCATCGTGTCTGGAGCTCTGTGGATGTGGATGTCTGCACCCCCCCTTTTTTTTCTCAGCCCCTTCAGCCAGCCATCAACTCTTCGATCTTTGCCCCCCCCCCCTACCAGCCACGACCCCTGAAAGCAACCTGCCCTCTTTATCTAATGTTGTAGCACAACTGTGAATGTGAACCCTAGATACAGAAAAAGAGAATTCCGTTTATGTGTGTGTGGGTGTGTGTGTTATTCAGTGTTAACATTTACTTAATATACTACAGAAAAATTAACAAAAAAAATCAGTAAATGTGTATTTAGATTCATTCTGGATTTTGGCGTATCAGCTGACTTGGAATGGTGGATATATGTTGGTTTCTTTGCGCATCTCCCAGACGAGGACTGTGTTGTTCAATGTGAACTGTGTTCGGTGTAACTTCACTGGCCAACTCCCACTCCTCTATCCCTGTTGTTCAGACTAATACTGTTTATTGTCATTAAAGACTTGGTTGTACCCATATATATCTGATGGCCATCCATCCTACCTGTCTACTTCAAGTTTTTTTGGACGAAAGCTCCTTATCAAAATGTACTTAAACACCACTTGCACTGCAAATCTGGGCTTATCACTAAAGACATTAAAAAACAGTGTTTCGTTTCATTTTCACATTATCTTTTTTTAGGGATTGTATGAAACATGCAAAAATTGACATATGCATTTTAGACTATTTTAAATGACAGATTATACATATTTTCTTTATTTTAAGTGAAAAAGTGTATCATATATTTTTAGTTACATTAAATTATATGGTTGGATAAAAATGCAAGTAGACTAAAAAGTTTCCCACTTTGTACATACCTCTGAAGCTGTAACAAATATTGAATGGAAATGTTGCTCAGAGTGTGTGCTGTGTCGCCCTTTGCTGGTGTGGAGTGGTACTGCATGATGACGTGAAACAGGTGAATCTGGGAGGCACTTTGAAAGAGCTCCATTCCTTGTTTTGTCTCTACGTACGATGAGTCCAAGTTAACGTGGAAACAAAGACACGAGGGAGTGTTTGTGATTGGCCTCAGTTGTTTTTGGGCGATTTGTGATAGAGCAGCGGTTGGTACATTTGTTCATGTGCTGCTTAAGGATAACGGGCTCACTGTAAAGCACTCGAGTATACGCTGGATGTTCTGTGTATTATTTCAAAAAGTGACTGTATCTTAATCCATTGTGGCATTAACAAAGTGTTGAAGGAAAAATAAAAATGGCACCTAAAAACAAGAAGAATGTGGATGAATATCAAAAATGAAGGATTCCTTTCTTTTGTTTTTTGGTAAAAGGAAGGCAACAACACCCCCTCCCTCAACCCCACCTGCATGTGAGTCCAAATGAGATGCAATAAAAGACACATCTGTTGATCTCAGTGACCTCAGCTCATCACTTATGCCTGCTTTGGTTTCTATCAGCACTATTTATATTTAACAACAAAAAAAGTGTTTGTGACATGAACACTACCCAAAATAATGAAAAAGGAAACTGAAAAAAATAAAAGATGGATATTCACAATTAACAATTGAAGCACATATTGTTAGAAAGAGGGGATTCATGAGTTTCACATGATTGCTGGTAGGTAGCAGTGGCCTTGAAAATCTAAATGCGAAATTGCACAACAACAACAACAGAGGCTGTAGTGACTCTAGTCATGCTTGCAAAAGCAAATGTAAGTTGTGCTATCATATTATTAGATTCATATAATGAATCTAATATGATTGTTAGCTATCGGTCGCAGGGGGACATATTGAGCACTTGTGAACATTGCATGTTTTGCATATGTATACATTCCAAAAAAAATAAAAAATCCCTTCTCACCCATCTGGGGTACTGCCTGGTGTGGTAGACCCCAGCCTCTATGGATCTTGTACTTAGAGCTTGTTCCTGTGCTGCCATGATTAGAGCCTCATTGCTGTCTTTCACTTGATCTTTGTCCAGCCACTAGTAGGATTTCTGGATGTGAGCCACTTCCTCTATATGCTGGTACATACTGTGCAGGGTAACACACCTTATTTACTGCAGCGCTAGGGGCAGCTGTTTCACGGTGACTGCAAT